GAGAAAAGGCCATGTGAGGACACAGAAAATGACTGCCTGCAAGCCAAGGAGAGAGGCCTCAGAAGAAACCAAGTCCTCTGACACCTGTCTTGGACTTCTAGGCTCCAGAACTGTGAGAAAATAAATTTCTCTTTAAGCCTCTCAGTCTGCGACATTTTGTTACAGCATCTCTAGCAAACAAATCCAACTGAAAAACAGGGAATTATTCTTTATCTTTGCATCTCTTACACCTAACAAAATCATGGCTCCTATGATCATAAAGCAGATGATTATTGAATAAAAGGGTAAGAGGGCTTTTGATTTCCAACATACAGCATTGTGATTGGCTGTATTCCTTAAAATAAGGTTTGACTGTCAAACAAGATGAAATGTATTTTCTCTTAATATACATGACGTCAAGAGGGAGGGAGTTTAGAACTAGCAAAGGACTTCCTAGTTTTGGAGATTCTTTAATATTGTTATATTACATTCTACCTCATGGTTCAATATAGCTGCTTAAGTGCCAACAATTACTTCTACATTCTAACGAGCTGGAAAAAAGAAGGGGTGCTCCCTCTTTCTTTCCCATTAGGAAATCTTCAAAAGACACATTCAAGAAGGATACTTGTGTTTCTATCCTAGTGATGAGAAACTAGTCATGTGACCACACCTCGCAGCAAAGGAGGCTGGGAAGTTTAGCCTTTATTCTGGGCAACCAAGTGCACAGCTGAAAGACAGAGATTCTATTATTAATATGAGAGGAAAGTGTAACCCTTCTGGGCACTACTCTTCCATGAGTTCTCCCGGTAGAATTCTGCAACCAGCACAGCAGCCCAACCTGCCTTCTCAGGGGCCTCTCTGCATAGCATCCCAGGGAGCAGGCTGGAAACCACTAAGTCTAGATCAACAGAGAGAGAATCTCCTCTGCAAACGGGACGTGCCACCTCTAGAGGTCCTCACTGGGATCCAGTGGCAGGGAAAGAGGAAATGGCAGAATACAAATGATATGTGCAAGACTTAGAGAACGAGCTTATGGTTGTCAAGGAGAGAGAAGGATGGGGGATGGAATAGTCTGGGACTTTGGGAAGGTCATGTACATACTGGTATATTTAAAAATGGATAACCAACAAAGGCCTAGCGTATAGCACATGGAACTCTGCCCAATGTTACGTGCCAGCCTGGATGGGAAGGGGTTTGTGGGAAAATGGGTACGTGTGTATGTAAGACTGAGTTCCTTTGCTGCTCACCTGAAACTATCACAACATTATTAATCCTCTTTATTCCAATACAAAATAAAAAGTTAGAAGAATGATCTGTGCAGACTCCCTGAGGGGCTATTTGGGGCAGGGAGTGCAAAAGAGTGTGTGCTGGGGGTTGAGGGGACATGGATAACCAGCCTCTCCTGTCCCAGAGATGAGATGTGATGGAACCTGTCCTGGAGTCAATGAGCCGCGTCACCAACCTGGATGCACAGGCAGGAGGAGATGATGAGGGAGGCCGAGGGAAGCCCCCTCCAGTTCTGGACATGTCCCAGAGAGATCTGCCTGCCTCCTTAAGCGTGTCTAGGTGCCAACCATCAGAAGGCAACACTACTGTACCTCTGCAGGTCCAATGGGGGGTCAGCTGGAGCATCAGCCATGGAGGGCCTGGAAGTCATGCCTCCTTGAGCTTGGACAGGAGTCTGTCGGGGCCACTGGAGAATCGCTATGAAAGTCCTCCTGGGGCAGCTGACAGCTCCTCACAGAAACTACAGAGCACACTCTTAACAGGTGAGGTTAAACATAGCATCCTACTAGGAGAGCCCAGGGTGGGAACAGGCTGGAAAAAAGACACAAGGAGCTCTGACGCCGGGGAGCTGCCTCCTTTCAAGTTCTGGTCCGCCACTTGCCAGCGAGGTGACCTTAGGCAGGCCACCTCCCTTTGTTGAGGCTCAGTCTCTAAAGCTAAAAGTGACAAGACTGAATCGAATCACACCTGGGCTTCGAGTCAGCTCTGGAATTTCAACTTTGGCTCTGTGTGATTCTGCGTTACAACCACAGCGGTTGTCGTCGTTCAATGGCTAAGTCGTGTCCAACTCTGTGATCCCATTGACTGCAGCACGCCAGGCTCCTCTGTCCTCCACAGAAGGTGGGAACAAGAGGAACACACCTGTGAGTTCTTCCTGGAATCCCCAGCCTTCCATATTATTTTTTGCTGCCTCATTTTCCAGTGTCCTTGGCTTGTAGCTCCTTCAATGCCCCAAAATAAAGTTTGTCTTCTTATATTTTCCAAGTCCCAGAGGCTTCATTTATTCCCTCCCCAATCAAAGATCAATTTCCACATGGCAGCTAGAGTGACCCTAAAATGCAAATTACCCACAGAAAGTCCCTTGCTGACAGTCCACTGCTCTTAATGTAAAGCCAGTCTCCATACTGGGACCTACAAGCCCAGCATCGCTTGGCTCCTGACCACCCCCCAGCGTCCCAACGGACATCTTGCTCCCTCCTTGTTACCCAAGGCCACACCGTCTCTTCAGTTTCTCAACGCTGCCAAAGTGGCTCCCATCTCAGGACCTTCGCCTGAACATCTTCCCCTTTCCCTGTAGCTGATCCTTCAGGTTTTGGCTTCAAGCTCACCTCTGCAGAGAGGGCTTCACTGGGCCCCCATCTCATCTTGTGTGTTCCCTGTTTCATCTTTCTCAGCCCGGTGTTTACTCCTGGTGTATTTAAACTGCTTTAGTGATCTATTTACTTTTCCTTTATTGATTTAATTTGGGTTGGCACACCCAGGGGAGCAGGGATCTGGTCCATAAATATGTATAATACTATATGCTAAGGGCTAAGTGCAGGAGGCAGTCACAGGATATTGAAATAAATGTGTGTTTGCATAAATATCTAAAACATTTATCAATGCATATGTTGAAGAAAGGACAGAGAGAGGAAGAGAGGATGGGAGGGAAGGGGAAAGAGGAAGGAAGGATGCAAAATCTGGGATTTTGCAGAACTGAAATCTAGGTCCATCTACCTCAAATCTCACTTACTCCCCATGCCCTGCTTTGTCATCAATCAATGAACAAACCATCCTGAGGCTGGCACCAAGCTGGGGAATATGGATAATTAAGGCGCTTACAATGCAATTGAGGAAGCAAAACTAGCACACATATAACAGGACAGTGGACGTGAAAAACAAAAAGAAGGCATTAGCAAAGTTTTTTGTAGAAGCATATTAATTATGGAGAATGATACTTACGACACATTTTTAACTAAAAGCAAATTAGAAAGCAGCATGTTTTCTATGTGTGTATATACACATATAGACAAAGAAAAGTGTTCTGGATGATTAAACACCAAAGTGTCAACTGACTATAATCAAATGAGGTGATAACTTGTATTAACTTGTTTATTGCTGTTGATTTAAATTTTATGTAGCTATTATCTTTTTTCTTTTGGAACAAGAAAATTGTAGTCAAAGTTACTTTTTATATAACAAGTTACTTTTAAACACACATGTAAGTCCATAGGAAGCTGCAATGGTTCACTGTGATTCCCATAGGAAGGGTAAGCCAATGGTCAAGAGTGGCTTCTAGAAGGAGGGGAAGGCATGAACTGAAGTGGTTCAGGCAGGAAGGGAGGACATTTCCTACTGTCATTTGTTCACAATGACCCTGGCAGCGGTGCCTGACCCCTCATCAGTGCTCTGCTCCTTCAGGCCTTAAAGCAGAAGTGTGACATGTTGGCTGGGCCATTGAGAGGCCTCTCTGGTCTGACCTTGACCTAGAGTCCTTCTACACACCCTCAAATCCAAAGTGTCTTGATAGCATCCTTTCCTGGAAAAGCTCATGATTTTGTATCACCCGGGAAGAAGGAGCGAGTGAACCAGGTGGTGCCCTATGCAATGACGTGGAGAGAGGGAATTGAGTGAAGTGGCCTTAGTGGGTGACCAGCTCCCCATCGGTCAGCTGGTTGACCCTGGGCAAGTCACTTAATCTCAGAGCTTCTGGTAACTCATTTGTAAAATGGCACAATGGCTCTCTCACGGGGCTCTTACAAGTGGGACAAGTTCTGTGAAATGAATGAGAAAAGGGTAGAAACAGTTGCTTTCTAAGCAATAACTGTCCACACATGCTGCTGCTGCTGCTACTGCTAAGTCACTTCAGTCGTGTCCGACTCTGTGCGACCCCATCCCTGGGATTTTCCAGACAAGAACACTGGAGTGGGTTGCCATTTCCTTCTCCAATGCATAAAAGTGAAAAGTGAAAGTGAAGTCGCTCAGTCATGTCCGACTCTCCGAGACCCCATGGACTGCAGCCCACCAGGCTCCTCCGTCGGTGGGATTTTCCAGGCAGGAGTACTGGAGTGGGGTGCCATTGCCTTCTCGGGTCCACACGGGTTAGCAAGTAATTATCCTGTGGAAATTCACCAGGAGGAGCAGCAGCACATTTCTGTTGAATAACCAAGAGGGAAGGTACGTCACAGTCCCTGCCCCTTCTGACCTCTGAGCTCTGACCTCTGGAGATTGAGATGTCTGGGCAGATGGCCATAGAGGGAATACCCACAGAACGTGCTCAGGAAGAAATCGAGTGCTGCCGGTTTGCTGGTCAGAAAGGAAACCTCTCCAAAGAAGGGGTTGGTGGAGGAAGAGGAGCCTTGCAGAAAACATTTTCCTACTGAGCACCTACTGTGTGCCAGGAACCGGATTCTAATATAAGACCCTACCAGGAGTTGGCTTCCCAGGCAGTGCTAGTGGTGAAGAATCTGCCTGCCAATGCAGGAGACATAAGAGATGCGGGTTCAATCCCTGGGTCAGGAAGATCCTCTGGAGGAGGGCGTGGCAACCCACTCCAATACTCTTGCCTGGAGAATCCCATGGACAGAGGAGTCTGGTGGGCTACAGTCCATAGGGTCGCAAAGAGTCGGGCCAGACTGAAGGGACTTAGTATGCACCAGGTAGTTATCATCACCACCACCTGAAAAAAGAGGAGAGTGAGGTGCAGAGCATGCGGATCACGCAGCCAGAAAATGGCCTCTCTGCTTTCACTCTGCTCACAGCGATCAGTCTCCACCAGAGTGGAGGGGTCTCCACCAGAGTGGAGGGGCCACCACCGGAAGCTCGGGTTTTGTCGAAAGACTGATGGTGCGGTAAAGGGGGACAGGGGTGACTTGAGAAGCTCTCTGTTTCCCTCGGCAGCTGTTTTTCCATTCTCACCTGTGCCCTGCATCGACCCTGTTGATCGCAGAGGCACCATCCCACCATCAGCTTTGAAAGTGCACAGTTCCCCTGGTGTTCGAAGCTTCCTGCACTCTTCTTTGTGAGGTTCTAAACCCCGGGGCTTTTCTCTCTCTCCCCAGAATGTGAGGGTCTCAGCCACAGCCCTGGGGCTACAGAAGGGCCAAGGCTCAGGAGCAGGAGTCAGCCACACCTTACCATCTTCACCTTTGTCCTCTCTCTGGGGTTAGGAGTGTCTGTTGTCCTGACCTTCTGGAGGAAAAAGAAGAAAAAGATCTGCTGAGTATGAAATGGTAGCAAAACAAGGGCGTAGCCCACATCTCTCAGCTGGCACAATGGGCAGAAATCCTTTCAAGTAAAGACTGCAGAGTGCTCGATAAGTGCCACCCAATCTAGAAAGATCCCCATCACCACATCACAAAATCAAGATCCTGAGAGGTTTCTAACTGTGTGTCTAGACTCTCAAGAGGAAAGACAACATATAACACAGATCTTTGACGATTTCTCTCCCAAACCAGCAAATATATGACTTACTGTGCTATAAAAATAGCTAGCTAGTTACAATGTTTTGGGCACCTGATACACTAGCTGATTTAATATCCACAGCCACCCAACTTGGTAAGTATCACTGTTGCCACTTTACAGACTGGAATATTGAGGCTAAGTGAGGATAACTACAGTGTCCTAGGTCATTCCAGTCATAACAATGGGAGAGTGAATCAGAAACCTAAGTACTTTGTGCCCTGGACAGAGTGGATCCCTTCTGCTCCCTGTCAACATCCTATCCATGGGTACCATGTAGTCAGCTGTATCTAGTGGGTCATCCCTTTTTATCTTGACTCATCTCCTATGTGGTTCCCTAAGCCTGGACTTGTTGCAGGACACAAGGCCAATCCCTAATGGGTCTGCGAACAACTCACTAGTGGCTTGAGTTTCTTTTCACACAGAAATGAAAGTAACACCCTCTTAAATAGGAGAGTAGGAAAGCACAGAAAAGTCAGTTCTGCCCATGCCGGAATAATGTGGTAGAATTAGAGCGTCAAAGGAAAAATTAAGCATCTTAGAGAGGGCATTGAGAATACGTGCTAGCTGCTTGTTTTCAGTTGGTAACTGCCCACACACCTGCAATCAGGGGAAAATGAAATCTGTGGTCACCTACAGACAGGGTGCCCTTGACATTCTGAGCAGGAGCCACAAAGATTTGCTATTAAGAGTCTGATAGTATATATCTGAGGTTTTGTAGGTCATACATTTCTCTCACAATTACTCAACTCCATCCCTGTGGCAGAAAAGCAGCCCTAGACAATTTATAAATGAATGGGCAAAGCTGTGTTTCAATAAAACTTTATTAACAAAATCAAGCAATGGGCCATTCTTGGTGTGTGAGCCATAGTTCGCTGATTCCTGGCTTAGAACAGACACAACAATAGACTATTTAATGAGAATTGGTAGTATGGCAGGCACTCCACATATTTGATAGGTGCACTTCACAAAGACATTTGTGCACTTTGTGCACCCACAAAGACATTGTGGGTTCAGTGCCAGACCACTGCAAAATGGCAAATATCACAATAAATTGAGTCACATGAAGTTTTTATTTTCTCAGTTCACATAAAAGTTGCATTTGCACTATGCTGTAGTATGTTAACTGTGCAACAGCAGTATGTTTAAAAAACAAGGCACAGGACTTCCTTGGTAGCACAATGGATAAGAATCCACCTGCTAATGCAGGGGACCATGTTCAATCCCTGGTCCAGGAAGATTCCACGTGACTCGGAACAACTAGTCCAAGAACTGCAACTGCTGAAGCCTGCGCACCTAGCGCCTATGCTCGGCAACCAGAGAAGCCACAGCAATGAGAAGCCCACGCACCTCAACAAAGAGTAGCCCTGCTCTCTGCAACTAGAGAAAGCTAACGCAGCAATGGAGAACCAGTGCAGCCAAAAATAAAGAAATATAATTATTTTTTTTAAAATGTATATGACTCGATTAAAACACACTTTACTGCTATGGATGATGAGGGTTGTAGGACAATGTGACTGTACTTAGTACTCTGAACTGCACTGTTAAATATGGTTAAAATACCATGTTTTATATTATGAGACTTTTACCACAATTTAAAAAAAAATTTTAAACTTTATTGCTAAAAAATTTGCCAAACCTGAAAATGCAAAGCTGTCACAAATCTTCAATTTGTAAAAAATATAGTATCTGCAAAGCATAATAAAACCAGGCATGCCTGTATCTCCTTCCACTAATAGGTGTTTGCTGTGTGCTTACCACAGGCCAGGCACTATTCTAGGCACAGGACTTCAATTCGGTAAAAGACAAAACCCAGCTCCCCAAGCTTACCTGACAGGGAAGCCTGTCTCCACCCCTCCCCAGAAGAAATCATCACCCCCGCTTTCCAGATGCAGGAAAAAGATTCAGAGAGGAAACATCCCAGAGCCCGTGAAGGAGCAGAGCTAGGATGCCAGGCTAGATCCCATATCTCAGTTCTTGGTACCACTTCATGCCACCCCTCACTTTAGAATCAAGACCCTCGATTCACTCTCCATGCCAGCCCCAGGTCCCACTCTTCTAAGCTGTCAACCCTGCGCTGAGCTAAACTGCAACTGTGGGAAACTTCAGTACAGTGTAAGCCTCCATTTCAAAACCTAAGGCAAGAGAGGATGCAGTGGAAACCACCGACCTCTAAGAAATCCAGAGCCGCAGCCTCATCTATGTCTGGGATGCAGACATTCCCACCACCGCCCCAGCCTCTCCCACAGGGTCCCACAGACCTCGGCCTCGAGGGCCCGGAGCAGGAGGAGGCGCTAAGAAACACAGCCCTGTTGTCTGAAGGCCACTGTGCAGGGCCCTGTGCCCCAGTGGGCTGGCCATCCTCTTCTGGTTTGTGTGTGTGTGTGTGTGTGTGTGTGTGTGTGTGTGTGTGTGGCTTGGATCTCCAAATAAAAGAGCTCTCTGTGGGAGTGAATTAAGACAGGAAGGGAAAGAGAGGGGAAGAATGAACTTTTCTTGAGCTTCCACTTGATGCTCGTTCTTTAAGAGCCATTCCATCCCCAGACAAGGGGCTGGGTACACGCCGCTGCTCTCATTTCATAGACCAGGGATCCGTAGACTTTTTTTTGTAAAAGGCCAGGTAGTAAATATTTTTGATTTTGCGAGCCACACAGCCTCTCTCAAAGCTACTCAACTGCGCCATTATCGTGTGAAAGTTCTTCACACATTGTCTGTTACTGTGTAGACAGTACATACATGAAGAAGCATCGCTGTTTATCAATAAAACTTTATTTATAGACACCAAAGTCTGATTTTCCTCTAATTTTCATGTGTTATGAAATAGTCTTCTTTTGGTTTTTTTAATTCAAAAGATGTAAAGATGTTTACTTTTCCATTTAAGTTAATTTGCTTTTAAAACGTACATTCCGAGACATAACATTTTAAAGGTAAAAATCATTTAAAATGCAGTGCCCATTCCTAGTTCGTGGGCTTCCTACAAAGGTGTAATGGGTTGGATGCCGTCCAGAGGTCACAGTTTGCTGACCTCTGCCCTAGATGATGTCACTGCTATGCAGGAATGTTGGGCTCATGCCTTAATCACATGGTATAAAAGTTAACCCAGAACCTAAGCTTGCAAGTGGTTGTTTTTGTTCAGTCCCTAAGTCATGTCCAACTCTTTTGCAACCCCGTGGACTGTAGCCTGCCAGGCTCCTCTGTCTATGGGATTTCCCAAGCAAGAATACTGGAGTGGGTTGCCATTTCCTTCTCCAGGGGATCTTCCTGACCCAGGGATGGAATTCGAGTCTCCAGCCTGGCAGGCGATTCTTTACCACTGAGTCACCAGGGAAGCCCTAAGTTTGCAGATTACTGGTGTAGAATTCCTAGGGTTTTAGCAAAAGCTTATCTGACTTGACAATTGCAGGTAAAACAGTAAAGGCTTTCACTCATTCATTTATTCATTGATCCTTTAAAATGTGCAGATCCAAGAGGTGGAAACTATTCATGTCAAGAGCCCCTTTTAAGCCTTAAAACAATTCTTGAGACAGTTGATTATTTACCACATTTATCTCCATTTTTCCAGATGAGAGCACAGAGGTATAGAGAGATGCAGTGTTCTTTCCATTTTCTCAGCTGCTTAGTCATTGTGGGGGTGAGACTTTTTCCTTAAGGTGCTAAAGCATAACTGAAATACGCAAAATCAGAACAGAAAAGAGAGAGAGATTTGAAAGTTTAAAAATACATATACCGTTCCAGCTGGAGCCAATGGGAAAATCTCAGTGGAGGACGGATTTGGACTGAGCGGCATTTCAACCATCAGAGATGGAGTGCCCTGGGCAACAAGGAGCAGAAACAACAAGGTCCCAGAGAGGGGATGGAAGGCTGTATGGAGAGCAAGGGATTTACTAGGCTGTGCAAAAGTTACCAAAGACCCTGGGCAGATAGGCTGGGCTGGCCAGGGGAAGACCTGAGACTCCTGCCTAGGGGAGGGGATGAGCTTCAGGGAGCTGGAAATTCCTGGGGGCCAAGTGCCTTAGTTTAGGAGTGTGACTGGTTTCAGAAGGTGCTAGAAGGGGGTGTTGAAAACGGGTAGGGGAGAAAATTCCACACAGGAGAGGAGCTGACCACCAGCTGGACATTCTCGGCCAGAGAGTTTGCCGCCCTCATGGCGCTGGGAGGGTTTGCTGAGCCCACCTTCTTGCCTTAACAAGTGAGCTGGTGAAAATGGAGGTAGCTGGCTCTTCCAGGTTTAAGCTCAGGCACCTGGCGCACAGACAGGAGCAGAGCTCTGTACAATTCTTGACCCTGGGGAAGCCCAGCTTCTTCACCCCCTTTTATATCCTGATATTCACACCAGGGCGGCCATCAGCAGTCCGGCTTGAGGTTGTGAAACTGAGACCCTGAGGTCACAAAGTCTTGATTGAAGATACATCCTAAGTTTTCCCTGTGACTGTGAATAATGATCGCACTTGGAGATCAAACCAGTCAATCTTAAAGGAAATCAACCCTGGATATTACCAGAAAGACTGATGCTGAAGCTCCAATGCTTTGGCCACCTGATACAAAGAGCCAACTCATTGGAAAAGACCCTGATGCTGGAAAAGATTGAAGGCAATAGGAGAAGGGGACTACAGAGGATGAGATGGCTGGATGGCATCACCGACTCAACATATATGAGTTTGAGCAAGCTCTGGAGATAGTTAAGGACAGGGAAGCCTGATGTGCCGCTATTCATGGGGTCGCAAAGAATCACACAAGAGTGACTGAATAATAAATAATAAATAAAGGTTAGTATTGAGTGCTGGTGGCATGTTTTCACAGGCTATCCTATTTAACTATTTAATCTTTATAACCTGATAAGAAGTTATTATATATATATATTATATATATGTCATATTACATGATATGCCACCAAAGAATCTTAAGTGTAAGCCGTCGCTCCGTACCGTGCTGAGTCCACAGCTAGTATTAAACCCAGGCTGTTGGATGCTACAACCTTTGTCTTTCAAAAACTTTTCACATCTTTACGATACCCCTCTAGTGTATGAGACACAGCCCAGGGGATATTCAGTAGAAGAGAGAAAGAGATGAAGGACGAATCTGAGTCTGGGGGACACCGGAGTCCCTGCTGTCTCCCCGGATGAGAAGACCACGTGCGTGAAGGGGAGGAGCCGGTAAACGAACAGCTGGGTGACGTGGGCGTTGGAAGGCGATTCTGAGTAAAGGTCAAGCTTTCCAAAGCGAGAGAGCAGGCAGAAGGGTAGTGACTCTATCCAAGCGGCACTGGCTTAGTAGGCTGCCAAGGCGAGTACTGAACTTGGCCTGGCACGTATCGTTGTATAATCATCTCAGCCTTGCTGGGTCACTCAAGAACACCAGGGCAAACTTCGTACCAGAAAAACAAGCTCACGAACGCCTGCCAGTTAGGACAGTCAGAGGAGTAAACACAAGAGGAATCACACACCTGGGAAGCCCTAGCAGCCCCCCTGTCCCGCTGGGCTGATAATTATCACATTCCAGCATTTACAGAGCACGTGCACGACCGGCTTGGGAGGCCTCAGAAGCTGCACATGCACTGTCTCTTAGACATCAAGAGAAGGCCTTGGCACTTCCCTGGCAGTCTAGTGGTTAGGACTCTGCGCTTCTACAGTGGGGCAGGGATTGGGTAATAGGTTGGGGAACTAAAATCCCACATGCAGAGCAACATGGCAAAAAAAAAAAAAAGAGTATAAAAATAGAAGTCCATAAAGAAAGTACTAAAATCATCCCATTTTACAGATGACGGTCAAGAATTTGCCATGGATCCTCGAGCTATTCCACAGTGGAGCTGGAATTTGACCCCAGGCAACCTGATCCCAGCAGGTACACCCATGGCCTCTGTGCTAAAAAGGGGCAACTGGGCACAGGGTCATGGAAAGAAAGATCCCAGATTCTGGGACTGTGTGGAATCTGATCTCAGCTCTACCGCTTCTAGCTAGACCTGGGTGACCTTGGATTAACTATGCTCAGTGTCTGTTAGTTAATGGATAAAACACAGATTCCTGGGTTCTAGGGTAGTGGTGAGAATGAGGTATATAAGCAAAGTGGCTGCCAATAGTTCCTTCCTAACTGGTGTCTGGTTCTCATGGGGAACACTGCCTCTGCCACCTACCAGAGTACAGCATGGGTCTTCTCTGAACCTCAGGTTCCTCTTCAGCTCCCATCAGGAGTCACCTCCCCCCAAATCTAAAGAGTCATTCCACTCTCCTGGGCTGCACTCTCTGTTTAGTGAACGCTCAGCTAGAGTTGCATCAGGTGACCCCAAAGGCTACCCCCAAAACATGTTCTCTGATCATCCAGCCCCAGGTGTTCCTCCAGCACAGCACAATCAGCCTTTAACCCCACCTATTCATTCTGTTCTGGAAGAGATGGGAATACCAGACCACCTGACCTGCCTCTTGAGAAACCTATATGCAGGTCAGGAAGCAACAGTTAAAACTGGACATGGAACAACACACTGGTTCCAACTCAGGAAAGGAGTACGTCAAGGCTGTATATTGTCACCCTGCTTATTTAACTTATATGCAGAGTACATCATGAGAAACACTGAGCTAGGTCCATCTAGTCAAGGCTATGGTTTTTCCAGTGGTCATGTATGGATGTGAGAGTTGGACTGTGAAGAAAGCTGAGTGCCGAAAAATTGATGCTTTTGAACTATGTATGGTGTTGAAGAAGACTCTTGAGAGTCCCTTGGACTGCAAGGAGAGCCAACCAGTCCAACCTGAAGGAGATCAGTCCTGGGTGTTCATTGGAAGGACTGATGTTGAAGCTGAAACTCCAGTACTTTGGCCACCTCATGTGAAGAATTGACTCATTGGAAAAGACCCTGATGCTGGGAGGGATTGGGGGCAGGAGGCGAAGGGGATGACGGAGGGGATGAGATGGTTGGATGGCATCACTGACTTGATGGACATGGGTTTGAGTAGACTCCAGGAGTTGGTGATGGACAGGGAGGCCTGGCGTGCTGAGATTCATGGGGTGGCAAAGGGTTGGACACAACCAAGTGACTGAACTGAACTGATTCTTTCTCTTGCCAGTTCATTACCCTTCCTTCACTCAGCGAATAACCAAGGAAACTTAAAAGGTAGAAAATTCAGCTGAGGCAATCTGGCTTACTTCTAGAAGTTAAGACACTCAATCTGGAGTGCAAAAATTAGAAATCTTGAACTCACCAAAGGCAGGTGAAGACAGTCTTCTGTAAGGCTTCCCTGATAGTTCAGTCAGTAATGAATCCACCTGCAATACAAGAAACCCTGGTTGGATTCCTGGGTCTGGAAGATCCGCTGGAGAAGGGATAGGCTGCCCACTCCAGTATTCTTGGGCTTCCCTGGTGGCTCAGCTGGTAAAGAATCTGCCTGCAATGCGGGAGACCTGGGTTCGATCCCTGGAGAAGGGATAGGCTACCCACTCCAGTATTCTTGGGCTTCCCTGGTGGCTCAGCTGGTAAAGAATCTGCCTGCAATGCGGGAGACCTGGGTTCGATCCCTGGAGAGGGGAAAGGCTACCCCCGCCAGTATTTCCCAAACCTATTTGAAAGCAAAACCTCCCATCCTGCCTGCCTCAGAGGTAATCAGTTCCATAAACATAGAATTACCAACCTCAGGAGACACTATGTTTCCTCGTCAACCAAGAATCCTGCCACCCCTTCCTGTAAGCCAGAGCCCCCTCTCCTGGGAAGGGGCAGGGAGGTCCATACATAGAACTGTGTTTCCACATAATTGCTCTCCTTTGTAATCCTGAGTGTTCTATAATATGCATTTTAATATGCATTTTGAAAGCATTATTCTGAAAAGTCAAAAGGGTCCAAGGCACAAAAAAAAAAAAAAAAAAAAATCCAAAACTCTCTGAACCTGGAAGGACCAGACCTTAGGAATGCATGAGTCCCTTGTGCTTCAAGAGATAATTCCCTGAAGGTTTCTAATAGGTCTCAAGATAGCAGCATGTTGCCCTACTTTTCAGCTTCCTGGTGGAAACCCTCCTGCTTTGCCTGTGGATGTGCACAACCAAGAGGAGAGACAAACAAAGCAAGAATGACTCTATTCCGATATGCACATCCTTTCTCATGATGCCTCTTGCCCTGCTAGGCATCACTGAACGTATTCCTCACAGCCTGCAAATTTGAGGAGGGTGGGGGCCAAGCTGAATCTTACAAATCAGCACCTATATCTGCAACTAGGAAGAGCAAGTCTCTGATAAGTGTTTGCTGAATGCACAAGAGAGCAGGTGGGGAGAGTGAACTCTCTTCGAGTCCATGGGGAAATTTCCCTTCCCTCCAGCAAATTCCTAAGATATTTTCTCTAGGCCTTAGAGTTCTGTTTAGAATTGTGGCCTTTTCTTCTCACTTAGGCTATGCATATGACGGGTTGGCATAAGATGTGTATGACGGGGATGGCATAAGATCTGCCTCCTGGGGTCAGGGGCTGAGCGTGTCCCCTCACCCACATAGACAGCCGGTCCCTCATCCCCCCACCCCCAACCCCGAGGACCACGCAGTGTGATGACATTTGTCCATCAGTCAGACAACGGGGCCTTGCACAGTTACCATCCTGGGAACACCCCTACCCCAAACCTGGAGGGTATGCCTTCAAGTGCATGGGCAACATTCCTTAAGGCCAACCATATGCTGAGCCATAAAATATGTCTCAGTACATTTCAAAGAACTAAAATCATGCAGAACACCTCTGAGCACAATGGGAAAAAAATAAAAGTTAGCAAGAGTAGATATGGAGAAAATCCCCAACTGTTTGGAAGAACGCTCTTAGTGCTGGACACAGAGCAGGTCCTCAAGCATTTCCCCCCAGTGTCTTCCTCCATTATGTCTATGATCCTTCCATGGCTGCTGGAGTGAAGGTCGACTGCCAGCTAAGGACACAGCTGCACCCTATCACGGCACTCGCTGCCCCGTCTGTGCAGTGAGCTGGGGCAATGTGCTTATTTGGGGCCCCCTGAGCCCCTCAACTTTCACCAGGTGCACAATGAGACAGGATGCCACCATGCTGCCAAAATGGGGTCCCTCCCCACTCTCCACTCTCAGGGCCCCCAAGCTTCTCTAGGGGCTGCCCAGGTGTGGGGCAAGAGCTTCACTTGGCAATGCCATTTACTCAGAATGTTCTTTGGCAAACAGAATCTAATTCATTTTTGTTGAGGGAGTTTAATTAACATTTCTTGAGGAAGAAGTATGCAGGTCAAGAGATGTATGCAGGAAGAAGTATGCAGGTCTGAGAAATCTGTATGCAAGTCAAGAAGCAATAGTTAGAACTGGACATGGAACAACACACTGGTTCCAAGTAAGGAAAGGAGTACGTCAAGGCTGTATATTGTCACCCTGCTTATTTAATTTATATGCAGAGTATGTCATGAGAAATGCTGGGCTGGATGAAGCACAAGCTGGAATCAAGATTGCTGGGAGAAATATCAATAACCTCAGATACGCAGATGATTCCAGTCTTACGGCAGAAAGTGAAGAACTAAAGAGCCTCTTGATAAAATTGAAAGAGGAGAGTGAAAAAGTTGGCTTAAAACTAAACTTTCAGAAAACTAAGATCATGACATCCAGTCCCATCATTCACGACAAATAGATGGGGAAGAGTGGAAACAGTGACAGACTTTATTTTGGGGGCTCCAAAATCACTTTAGATGGTAACTGCAGCCATGAAATTAAAAGACACTTGCTCCTTGGAAGACAAGTTATGACCAACCTAGACAGCATATTAAAAAGCAGAGGCATTACTTTGACAACAGAAGTCCATCTAATCAAAGCTACGGTTTTTCCAGTAGCCACGTATGGATGTGAGAGTTGGACTATAAAGAAAGCTGAGCGCTGAAGAATTGATGCTTTAGAACTGTGGTGTTGGAGAAGACTCTTGAGAGTTCCTTGGACTGCAAGGAGATCTCACCAGTCCATTCTAAAGGAAATCAGTCCTGAATATTCATTAGAAGGACTGATGCTGAAGCTGAAACTCCAATAGTTTGGCCACCTGATAAGAAGAGCTGACGCATAGGAAAAGATCCTGATGCTGGGAAAAATTGAAGACAGGAGGAGAAGGGGACAACAGAGGATAAAATGGTTGGATGGCATCACCGACTGGATGGACATGAGTTTGAGTAAGTTCCAGGGGTTGGTTATGAACAGGGAGGCCTGGCGTGCTGCAGACTATGGGGTCGCAAAGAGTTGGTCATGACTGAGTGACTGAACTGAACTGAACCGCAGAGGTTGGTACATGATAAAACCCCAGAATTCATTCCATGGAAGATTTCCAGCGGGATTCCATTGACAGAGGAGTTCACAAAGATAAGAATAATGTTCTGTCTTATTCTAGCTGTGAGGCTGTGAGCAAATGACTTCATCCCAGTTTCCTCATCTGTAAAATGGGGCTGGTGGTAAAAGCACCTGCTAGGCTGGTTATGAGAACTAAATGAGTGGATCCATAAAGATAATTCCCAAATTTCTCTGTATAATAATAAGCAACACCAAGCCCTTACCATCAACCTAACCAAACACACTTCATTTTCAGGACAGTCCTGGAAAGTAGATATTCAGGTTATTCCCATTTCAAAGATTTAACAACATTAAAGCCCAGGAAGGCTAAGAAACATGCCCAAAGATACATGTTATAAATCACAGAGGTAGGATTCAAATTCAGCCTAATCGCAGAGCCTCAGGAAACTTCCAGTCTAATGGAAGCGACCGATAGAAGCCACTCACCTCTGGAGGGCTGCAAAGCTTGTCCCAAGAGCAATTAACTCGGATCCAGGGGGCAGCCAGGGATCTTCCTGTAGGAACAAGAGTTCAGTTGCCCTATGAGAGCTGGGCCTTGAAAGATGCTTTCTTTTCACAGGAAGAGGGGGAGTCAAGAAAAGCCTCATAGGTGGAAAACTCACATTGGCAAAGGCAAGGTGGATGTTAAAATGAATTCCCTGTTTAGGCAAGGCTGTAGAGACAGCTGGGCCAACAGACCTGGGCTTCCTGGAGTCTCCTTTGAATTCATGTCCATGTCTTTGCATTCTGACCAGCACAGTACTGTGGGTGAGAGCACAGGTTCTGTGTCTGATGGACTAGGAGGACGTAATGAGGCTGTGTGGCTCTGAGCAAGAGACTTAACCCATCTTGTCCTGAAGGGGGCTCACCTTCAAATGAGGGCCAACCACCAACTCTGGGCAGCTGTACTGACACCCTCTTGCTGCCTGCTAGCACTCTGATGCTTCTTTGTGTTTCTGCTCTAGTTGACATGGCTTGAGTCTCCTCTGTCTTTCTGTTCAGACCACTTCTACTCCTTGACTGACACCTCTTAGGAAACAACTACATCAAGTCCTAAAAAAGAAGAGACTCCCAAATCAAAGAGAAATGGGGCTTGGTCTATTACCATTACTAGAGAAGAGTTTCCGCTGAAAAGAACTTGTCTACTCACAGCCAGATTTGGGGATCTGATTTCATCCCTCTTGCAAAATACACTTCTGCTAAATAACTGTGATGCAATGTTACCTGAATTATAACCATTTGACAGCTGCCCAAGGAAGGCACTTTCTGCCTGGACCATGGGTTGTCTCCATTAATTTTGTTTATAGTGTATAGAATGGCATGGCTAATTAGAGACTTTCATACAAAGATGCATTTGCTTTAATATCTCCTCTTGGTCCTCAAACCTCAAATTTGGTGGGGTGGGTCTTGTTCTGTGTCCAGGCTTAACTAGGTGTTTATGCTATTCACTCCTTAAATCAAAGGTCTTAAGATATACATCTTTTCAAATTTCAACATCTCCAAAAATGGTATGTGCCCTACAATCAATGGCATTTAGAAGTCTATTTGGGCTTCCCTGGTGGCTGAGTGATAAAAGAATCCACCTGCCAATGCAGTAGATGCAGATTCAATCCCTGGGTTGGGTAGATCCCCTTTAGAAGGGAATGGCAACCCACTCCAGTGTTCTTGCCTAGAGAATCCCAGGGACGGGAGAGCCTGGTGGGCTGCCGTCTATGGGGTCGCACAGAGTCGGAGATGACTGAAGCGACTTAGCAGCAGCAGCAGCCAGTGTTCTTGCCTGGGAAATCCCATGGACCTAGGAGCCTGGTGGGCTATAGTCCATGGGGTCGCAAAGAGTTGGACATGACTCATGCACACACATCTCCTGTAGTTCACAAATTAATCATGAGTTGTATAACTGATAGCATCTTAGGTTTGAGGCAATAGGGTATGTGCTGGGAACCATGCGAGGTTTAAAACAAACCTTGCTTTTCCTCTAAGCAACCACCACATAAACATACTGTCACTCCTCACTTACATATGAGATCTGATGTCCAGAATATTTAAGAAAATCTTATTTATGACTGCCTTGTATGACGGAGAAAGAGGGTGGACTTCTAGTTCTTACTGCTGAGTGTGAATGACTGCAGAACTTAGCCTTATAAAACAACAATCACTTTATGTTACTCATGCATTTTTGATGGAGAATCTGGGAAGGGCTAGGCTGGGTGGTTCTCACTGGGGTTTCCCATGCCCTTGTAGTCAGATACCAGGCTGTGGTCATTTGAAAGTACAAATGGTCTAAACATCCAAAATGACAGTTTGATGGCTATCAGCCAACCCTGGAGTGCTGGCTGGGAGCAAGCTGAGACCACAGACCAGAGCACCTCCATGCAGCTTCTTCAGCAAGGCAGTCTCTGTGACTCCCCAGACTGAGTGTCTAAGGAAGCCTGAAGATGCTGCATGACCATCGCCGCTTGAACAATCACTGAGACTCAAGTAAATGATATAAATCCCATCTTTCAATAGGGAGAATATCAAGGAATGGGGCTGTTTTGTTTTTAAGCCATCACAGAGGAGAGCCCTGGTCTCAGTGATGCAAAGACACCATTTGTGGGACTGCTTGTCTGGTACCCAGGTTCAAAGGAAGGGAGAAAAAGAACTAAATGTGATGTAGATGATTTTAAAACAAATGCCGGAGGAAGCATTCAGTCACCTATATGTTCACTTTCAAAGTATTCACTTTGGATTTTTTAAAACCCTGGTCCGGTGTTGCTTTTGTTTTTCAGAATGTATCCTGAGTTTTCTGGGAAGTAGAATCAGGGCCAGCTTAGCAGGATCACAAGAGACATCAGGCTTAAAACTTTGTCAGACACCATTTATCACTAACCAGACACACATTACGTTATCTAACTTAGTATTTACTGAGCATCTGTTACACAATGTTCTGGGTTCTGTGGACACCTGAATGGACAAAACCATGCCTCTTTCCTTTCAGGGCTGATATTCTTATGGTCAATATAAAAAGTCACCAAGGGACTTCCCCAGTGGTTCAGTGGTTAAGATTTTGTGCTTCCATTTCAGGGGTGCTGGGTTTGATCCCTGGTCAGGGAACTAAGATCCCGCATGTCACTTGGTGTGGCCAAAAATAAATAGTTAATTAAAAATAAATAAATAAAAAGTCACCAAATCTGTAATAATATCGAGTCCTAAGAATTATGGCTAATAACAGAAAATGAGAAGTGAAGGAAGCTAAGTTCCAGGGGGTGGTCAGAGAAGGCCTCTGTGAGAGCTGACATCTGAGCAGACACCTGAATGAAATGAGGAAATGAGCCGGGCAGGAAATACAAGGAACAGAGTCCCAGAGAAGGGAACCATAACGTGCAAAGGCCCTGAGGCCTACCTGCACTCAGGTATGTCTGGCCTATGGCACGAAGGCCAGTGTGGACAGTAGGGTCAGCAATGGGGAAAGTGGCAGAGAGGGTGTTGTGAGTCATACTAAGAACCTCGGATTTCATTCTAAGTGAGATAGGATTCCATTGGAAAGTTTGAGCAGGTGAGTGCCATGATTTGGTTTACCTTTTTATTTTTTTATAGTTTTTCTTTTCTGTGTGTGTGCCTGCATGCCTGTGGCATGTGGGATCTTAGTTCCTCTACTAGGGATTGAACCCACGGCCCCTGGAAGGTGAAGTCTTAACCTTTGGACCACCAGGCAAATCTGGCTTACCCTTTTAAAAGAATCCCCCTGGCTGTTGAGAGATAAGGTGGGGTAGGTAGGGTAGAAACAGAAAGGCCAGGTAGGACACAGGCTTCTGCAGGAATCCAGGCAGAAGGCAGTGGTGGCTTGGTCTGGACTGTCATCAGTGGAAAGTAGAGGCCTAGGATGAGTATGGAGTCTGAAGATTCCACAGGATTTGATAACGGACACACCACCCAATTGAGTCTTAACCCTCATGAACAAGCTAGGTTTCCAAAAGTGCTTAGTCATTGCCCAAATTCAAATCTGATCTCCATGGAGGGTCGCTCTGTGGGTCATAGAAAGTAGGAAAGACCCAGGTGAAACCTGCCCCCTTCCATGCTGGCCAGGGAGCTCGTCCCTCCTGGCACAGAAGGGTCTGGACCTCTGGCATCACCCCTCCCTCTCCATCCTCAGCCTCCCAACCACTGGCAAGAAAGATGCAAGGAGATGCAAAAGAATAAGCCACTGGCTGGAAAGACCCTTTCAAAAACAAGTTCAAAAATGTCTAGAGTCTCCTAAAAGGGCCACCAGGGGAGACCCACACCCATTTGCATGGTCGAATCTGGGTATTTTGGTCTTTCACTTCATGATACGACTTGGTAGTCACAGCCCCTCCTTCTTTACAAGTCAGTGTTCTCCCAGGAGCGTTTTCTGTCAAAAAGAAACCACTACTGTTGCTGGTTTGAGACTGACTTTAGGGGCATTTTCATGCTCCATGAATTTCAGTGGCAACATGCTCAATGTTCTGCTTAAATACCGCAAGAGGCCTGATGGTCAGATCAAGACTTTGATAGTGGATAATTTTTCTCTCAATTTTTCTTTTCTTAACAAACATGTGTATAGCCACTTACTATGTGTCAGGCAATATTCTAACCATTTTATAAAACATTTAGTCATTTAATGCTCCTAACAACAATACAAGGCATGCACTGGTATTGTCCTTCATACAAAACTCAACACACTTTTAGTGAGGATTTTATCCACATGGACAGGAAGTCACAGAGAAGCTGGGTGACTTGCCAGGCCATGCAGCTTGTTAGTGGCAGAGCTTAGATCAAAACCCAGAAACTCTGGCTCTACTACTTGGGTTTTTGAGCACCATATGAAACTCCCTAACTCCGTGCTCTGGTGGAAATCTGTACACCATTAGAAATGCTATCAGATGCAGATAAAAGACAACTCTGCTTAGAGTGACCTGTGTGTGTGTATGTGTGTGCATGCTTAGTTACTCAGTTGGGTCTAACTCTTTGCGACCCCTAGACTGTAGCTTGCCAGGCTCCTTTGTTCATGTGATTCTCCAGGCAAGAGTACCGGAATGCGCAGCCCTTCCTTTCTCCAGGGAATCTTCTTGACCCAGGGATCAAACCCAGGTGTCCTGCATTGCAGGAGGATTGCTCACTGTCTGAGCTGCCAGGGAAGCCCTTAGAGTGGCATAAACCAGGAAGAATTGTTTTAATAAGTCTGAATGTAGTCTTCTGTCTCAGGCTGGTGGAACGACTTAACAAGGCAATAAAAGATCCAGACTCTTTCTTTCTTTTCTGCTCCCCCGTTTCTGTCTGTTGGCTTGTCACTTCATGGCTGCAATATGGCTGCTGCACCTCCAGGCATTGTGTCCAAGATCCATGCAGAAAAAAGATAAGAATGACCCTTCCCAGTGTGTGTGTGTGTGTGCGCGCGCGCGCGCTTCGTCTCCCGAGCATGCTTCCCCTAACAAAACTAGATAACATACCTGCCATGACCATTTTTATCTGGTTTAAACCAATCTTGATTCACCTCATGAGGCTGGGATTGGGGAT